AGATGAATTGCTATAAATTTTCATTTAGTGTTACCAAACATCATTCAGTCTTTCATACTGAAAAACTAGAAATAAATCTTCATGTGCTGTGCTAGCTGCTGCATTGTTAACACTGATTGAAACAGACAGGGTTCCTGCCTTCATGGTGCTCTTGCACAGCTTCTGCCTAGAAGAGGCCTCAAGGCTACTTGGAGACCATCTTGACTCTGCTTTCTTCCCTGCCCCGTTGTCCAGTCTGCCACCAGCCAGCAGACTCTAACACTTCTTCATCCACAAGGTATCAGGTCTCTCCTCCCTTTGCACCCCCGATGTCCCCGGTTAGAGAGGCCCTCATCACAGTGTACACTGACCTGCTTTGGTCCCTCAGCATTAAGACAGGCTACCCTGAAACCTCTGCAGGATTCACTTTGTTTCCTTTTTAGGCTTCTACACCTTTTAGATTCCCAGGCTGGGGATTAGGAGGAGGTACAGATGGATGCTGAAAGCAAAATCGCCACATAGAAGCTCTGAGTTTACTACTCCACTCTGGGAAAGTGTGGCACTGATGCCCAGAGGACTCTGTGGCTTATTCCAAGTTGTCTGAAACGCTGAGATTTCTCTTACCTAGAAGCACATTTCCAGTGCTCTCATCTTCATCCTTCACTACCATTTCATATGTGGCCTCTCCCCTCATGCCCACAAAATTATGGCTTTATGGCAAGAATCACAGAGTCCCCCAATTGGAATTACATACCTGGTGCTTATTCTTAGGGAAAATGTCTTGGCCTATGTGAGATTTAATTTATTTATATGTAAAACTGGGGATGGGCAGTAGTAAGAATTAAATGAGATCATTTTGTAACACAGCAGGTATATTGTTTGGCACACAGTGGAAAAGTATCATTGTCATTATCCATGCTGTCTCTCCCCTTCATTGCTGCTTTCTGTTTTAGAGAAAGTCTGCTTGTGTATTAGTCAGGACTTTCCAGAGAAACAGAACCAACAGGAGGTATGTATAGGAAGAGACTTATTTATTATGAGGAATCGCCTCATGCTATTATGGAGCCTGAGAAATCCCACAACCCGCCATCTGCAAGCTGGAGACCCAGGAAAGCCAAGGATGTAGTTCTAGTTCAAGACCAAAAGCCTAAGAACCAGGGAGCCAATGGTGTGAACCAGTGCAAGGACAGGAGAACACACATGTCCTAGCTCAAGCAAGCAGGTGGAAAACAAAAAAGGGGAAATTCCTCCTTCCTTCGTTCTCTTCAGGCTCTCTATGGATTGGGTGATGCTCACCCATACTGGAGGAGGGCTGTCTAGTTTTCTGAGTATACCGATCTAAATTCTAGTATCACCTGGGAATACCCTTAGAGATATACCCAGAAATACTGTTTAATCTCCATACCCCTGGGCCTAGTCAAGTTGAGGCCAAAAATATTAACCATCGCAGCCTCTTCCCCTTTCACTAGCTGAGTATGGACCTGAAAATCCTACCAACAGTAGCAACCAGTCTTCTCCACACTTCTATTAAAATATGCAAACCAGACCTGGCATTCTGTTAAATTGTTATTTTCAAATTCAGTCTGCTAGAGTGGTGGTGGCGTGTTCACTGGGGCAGAGAACACCTGTGTCACCCTATGACTCATACTGCAGCCATTTCCTGCTGGTTCTGCATGCCTTGGCCCTATTGGTATAAGCCAGCTCTTGGACCAAGGCTGCTATGCCTGGACATAACAGAAAACATTGGCATCCAAGAGTTGGAAGGAACCTGGAAAGTCATCCAGATGTAGTGTATCACCCTGTTGGATAACTGGTTCTCTTTTACATCCCCAGGGCAAAAGTTTGTCCCACTCTACATCAGTATAGCCTCTTAAAGCAAAAAGTTCATCTTTTGTCAGCTTGGATGACGGTGGATCATTCTTTTATACTTAAGTCCAAATGAGCCTCCCATTTAGCTTCCCTTCTTTTGCAAAGATCTCTTCAGTATGGATTGCTGAGCTCATGTGAGAGCAGCGTTTGAGCTACAGTGCAGTCCTCTCTTTAAAACCTTGGCTCTGAGGTCAACTCTGCAGAAAAAGAATTGGGCTCAATTACCATTTGTTATTCTAATGTGAACAATGCTTTAGGCTTGGAAAAATTATCAAATGAACTTACAGTCAGGAGAAATCTCTAGATAGCTCCTCACACTGAAATGCATGACTTCGGGGTGGGTGTTGAACTTGAATGGTCCCCAGTAGGAATATTTTCTGGTGCTTTGATTTTTCAGAAGTTTCTTTTTATCTTTTGTAGCAGCATGGCACAGTGCGTCCTTGCCTCCCTCCTGGGAGTGTAGCAACGGTGTTCGTATGGATGTGTCTGTCCTTGGCACCAGACTTCAAGAAGGTGTGAATGCAGGAGTTGTTCTGAACAATGCAGAGTGCCTTGGAGAGGGGGAGAGAGGCAGATAGAGAATCACTGCAGAGCTTACTCATGTGGAAAGGTGAAAGAATTTTGAGTAGGAAAAGTTAAAACTGAGGCTTACCTGAAAAACCCTTTCCCCAGCTTCCATTGGAATCCTACTGATCTCAGTGGCATATAGTCTCAAACTACTTCACACCTCACCTCTGACACTCTGAGTCCAAGAGGCTGGCACCTTGTGCCAAAAAGCCTAGTTGATCTGAAGCTCTTGGTAAATATGAGACCATCATTATCCATCTTTAGCAGTTCACGCTGGGTCCATCTGTGCCTTTTAACAGCTCACTGTTTGCTGTGTGAAAGACGGATATCTCAGTCCTAGAGGGACTTAGCTCTTTCAGTTTGTGGATTTTTTTTCTCCTTTTGGTTGTTTTGTTTTTGCTTTGATTTCTTCCTACGAGGTCAGCCTTAGGCCAAATTGGAAAGTAGAGGATTAAGGATACTTCACTCTTATGTTAGACTTTATGGATACTAAAGTGTTTCCACATCTGTTACTTGATTTTATCTGGTACTTACAAACCCAGGAAGGCGAGGCTAGGGGTACCCTTACTGCAGTTTGTAGAAGGGCTAGTTGAAGCCCAGAGAGGCTAAGCAAGGTGCCCGAGAACACAGAGGAGATCAAATGGAAGTGAGAAGTAGAAGCGGCCGGTGCTCCTTCCACGAGGCTCCGTCGTTGGGCTTTACCCCCATCTTCTTTCTGGTTCTGAGCCCTCCCTCCCCGCTCGTTCCTAGCTGTGCAGTACACTGTCCTAGGGGCCAGTCTAGACCCCTAGGGCAGCCAGGCTCTGGATCTTTTCCTAAGCCTTTCCCCCATCACAACAACATCTTGCGAACACATCATTTCTTTTAGGCCCATCCTCTGGTCACAAATAATTTGAAAATATATAGCTATCTAAACACATGTTTCTAGAAATAGGCCACCAGGGGTAAGGGATAAGGCAGGCTGCCGACTCAGATGCCTCAGGGACCAGGCAGGACATGCTAACGAGGGGAGCAGTCTTGGTGTCGATGCTGGGCAGTGGGAGGGACTGTGGCAGCCAGAGAGCTGGTGCCCTGTCTGAAGGAAGCAGCTGCTCCTGAGCATCCGCTGACTGTCACATGGGGAGTGCAGGCCTGATGCTGCCAGACCTTCCCATCCCATGTTTCCTCCATGAAAAATGGAAAGCCTGAACTTTAATGTGTGATTTTCCTGTATTTCAAAACATCAGGCAAGCCTCACAAAAGATACCCATGTGCGTCACGGGGCATGTGCTTGGCCAGTTTGTGTCCTCTGGTCTGCAGAGACAGAGAGGAAGGTCTGCTTACTTGGCCTCCATGGGGTTTCATTGGAATAAGAGCCAGTCGAAGCATCGTGGCTTCAGAGGGATACAGGCCAGCTGGGACATATCCAGAGACAAAGGAGCATGGTGGCCAGGAGACTCAGACACGTATGAAGAAAGGTGCAGGGACAAGGGACATTTACTCTGGATGAGGGAACACTTTGGGCTGCCAAACAGAAGACGGTAGAAAATTACTCTGCTCAGGCCTGAGGATTGCTTCTTATGCTACACCGCCCACCACGTTTTAGATACTAGTCTTGTCCCTTCTTCCTTCCCTCTACCCTCCCTTCCCTTTTCTTAACCATATTTTATGTATTCAGGATACATGGATTTAATTTTTTAAATGTTAATGTCCTAGGGCAGGGGCAGGCAAATATGACTTGAAAAAAGGGCTAGACAGTGAATGTTTCAGGCCTCTGAGCCACATTGGTCTCCACTGCATAGTCTTCTTCGTGGTTTTGTTTTTGTTTTCACAACTGTTTATTCATGTGAAAAAGCACTGTTAGCTCCTGGGCCTTATAGAGACAGATCACTGGCCAGCTTCTTTTGTTTGCTGACCCCTGGCCTAGACAAAGTGAGTAAACAAATCAGCTGGGATATTCTTTTAATTCTCCTAAAATAGCAATTTCTGTCTTCTTTTACCACAAATATCAATAGGTTTGTAAAGAAAATAATTCTTATATCAAATAAATTTGGGAAACACTGAGTTAAGCAAAGTTTAAAAAAATTTCCCTCCCAGAACCTTTAACATGCTCATGTGAATTAAGAATTTCTAAGGAAGATTGTTTCCAAAATTGTCCCTGGAATCTTTTTCCCGAGGACCTTAACATCTTCCAGGACACTTGCTTGGGAAATGCTGTCCAAAGTGAAACTGTTCTTGAAAACCAACCGAACCAAAACAACAACAATAATAAAACTTTTTTGTTTGTTTGTTTGCATTTCACCTTTTTAAGCTATTCTACCTGAGTTACGGAAAATCCGTTTATTTAGAATCTTTCATATTCTAGAAGGCATGAGCAGGTACAATTAATATTCTTTGGAGGAAAAGGGCAGCAGCTGATTTGGAGAGAACAGAGGAAGTATTTGCATTACTTTCCACCTAAGGGTGATTTCTGTGAAGTGAATTCCTAAATGCTTTAAATTACTCTGTCACTAACCATTAATCTGTGGAGCTCACATAGGCACCATTAGTCCATTACTTGGCCATTTTGATTAAAAACAATTACCAGAAACTTTGTCTGTTTGCAGCTAACTGCTAATTTCCCTGAAGAAAAATATCTGCTTAAAATGTAAAGACTTGGTTCTAAGCTTTATAAGAGAAAAGAGGAGAACACTTGGCCCGTTTTGACAAGGACCTACGCTGAGTGTGTGATCCCAGGGCGACACCAGGCGTGGCTCCCACCCTGAGGTAAGTCATCTTGCTCTTTGGGGACAACCCAGGAACAGTTCTGCAGTGACAGGGCCACACGATGCGCCAGGTACATCCACGTGAGCCCAGCCCCACTTCTTCACTGCTGCCTGCCCTCTGACACCTTACTTAAACCTATCTGATTCTCAGTGCACTCATCTGTATGGGGGAGACAGCAAAACTAATTTTACAGGGTATTCTGTAGTACTTAGACAGAGTGTACATGAAATAGTCTGCCCGTAGTAGCACTCAGTCAGTAGCTGTGATAACTGTGACAGGTGATCCAAGAAGTCAGAGGAAGGCAATCCAGCCTTGCTGCTGTTGATCGAGACAGCGGCTAACTTTCTGCGCCACTATCCTTACCGTGAAGCTTTCTTCCTCTTGGCGGCAAGGGGGAGGCTTCCCCTCGAGGCATGTAGGCTATGTTCCAGGCAGGATGAAGAGGGGTGGTTGAAGGGGAAATTCATGCCCGCTGAGATTGCTGCTTTCTAACAAGAAATCAATAACTTTTTCTAAAACCCCACATAGTTTATTCTGCTTATATTTCTTTGGCCAAAGCTGGGTCACAAAGTAACTCTTAGCTGCAAGGGAGTTTGTAGTGGAGAGTATTTTAAAAAGGCACATTGGCACATGAATAAAATGAAGAATAAAGAAAATAAAATAAGAGGAAGCAACAAGGGGAAAGTGGATAACACGAACAGGTGAGAAGCAGAATCTGACCCAGGGATTTCACTTATGCCTGCAGGCCGTCCTCTAAATGTCGACCAGTTGGCTCCAGTTTGTACTCTGAGATAAAAAGAAGTTGACTGGTTTCTTCTGTCTTTGTGCACAGAGGAGATGGAGATAACAGCTCTCAACTATTGAGCATTTACTCCTCTGTTCCAGGTCCTCAAGTAAGTACTTTATGTATAATTACCTCATTTAATCCTCAGAACAGCCCCAGGAGCCAGGTACTATCATTATCTTCCTTTTATGGAGGAGATCCTTGATGCACAGAGAGGCTCAGTAACTTGCCCGGGCCATACAGGTACTAAAAGGCAGAATGAAGTTTCCTTCCCAGCTGGTTTGGATCCACAGCCCAAATTCTTAAGCACTATTTCATATTGACTCATTAAAAATAAGTGATCTCGTATTTCTCATCAACTGAGTTTTATCAAAGGGGCAAAGGAAATTTAGTTGGGGAAAATGATAATCTTTTCAACAAATAACGTTGAGACAGTTTAGACATACAAAGAGATGAATTTAGACCTTTACCTCACACCATATACAAAAATAAAATCAAAATGAATCAGACTTAAATGAAAGAACTAAAATGCCAACTTTTAGAAGAAAATCTCTATGATTTTGGGTTAGGCAAAAACTACTTAGATGCATCATCAAAAGCGTGATCCGTAACAGAAATGAATAAATCAAACTTGATCAAAATGAAAGATGTTTTTCCTTGAAAGGATACAATTTTAACAATGAAAATATAAGCTACATACTGGGAGAAAATATTTTCAAAGACTGGCTCTTGTAAAGGACTTATATCCAGAATATATAAAGAACACTTACCACTTACTTTCATTCACCAACAAGACAGATGACCTGATTAAAATTGGACAAAAGATGTGATTAGACATTTTATTAAAGAAGACATACACATGAGTAATGAGCATATGAAAAAATACACCACATCATTAGTTATTAGGGAAAAGTAGATTATCACCTCAATGAGATTCTACCTCACATTCACTAAAATGGCTTTAATTGAAATGATAGACATAACATGTATTGGTAAGTATGTTAAGAAACCGGATTCCCTTACATCCCTGGAATGTAGAATTCTGTAGCCATTCTAGAAAACAGTTTGTCAGTTTCTTTAAAAATTAAATGTATTCTTACCATTTGACATAGTTATTCCACACCTAGATAACTACCCTAAGGAAATGAAACCTATCTTGATATAACAACTACAAAGATTTGAACACAAATATTCATGGAACTTTTATTCATAATAGCCACAAAGTAGAAACAAACCAAATGTCTGTCAACAGGAGACCAGGAAAATGTGCTATATCCATGCATTAGAATTCTCAGCAGTAAAAAGAAATTAAATACTGATATGCTACAGCATTCATGGTCCTCAAAAACATTAAGCCAAATGAAAGAAGCCAGAACAAAAAGCTACATGTTGTATGATTCTATTTAGGTGAAATTTCCAGAAAAGGCAACTTTATAGAAAGAAAGCAGATTAGTGGTTGCCCAGGCAGGGAGGGGGACTGACTGCAAATGGCCATGAGGGGTCTTTTCAGAGTGATGGAAAAGTTCTGAAAGTGCATTTTAACCATCTTTGCACAACTCTGTAAATTGACCAAAAGTTACTGAATTGTATACTTAAAACAAGTGAGTTTTGTATTATGTAAATTGTACATGAATAAAGCTGATTTCTTAAAGTGGCCTCAAAAGAAGAGAGACTGTGTTCCAGAAATCCCTCTCAACTTTGTTTTATTAGTGAATTTAGAATGAAATATGTGAAATCGAGCACTTCCAGACAGAAGCGAGACTGAATTTCACTGCTACATTTTGACTTGCATTCAGTACCCGTTCACTATGAGTATTTCACTGACTAAGCCTGTATTTTACTCTGGCTTCCAGTCCCGCAAGACGTATTTCCAAATAAATAATTATTAGCTGGTCTAGAAAGTCTACCGATGATTTTTCCCACTTTTGCATCTTACACAAATTCTTTTTCACTGTGTGCTCCGGAGTCAGAATTGACATGGAGTAGAGATTCGTGGTCGGGGGGTGTCCTTGTGCTTGTCAAAGTCCTTTGGTGGCTGCACTGTCTTTTTTTGAAATGGTCATTTGTCCCTTTGTCATAAAACCTTGTATTAAATTCATTTTAAATTATTTTTGGCGGGGTATAGGATTTGGCACAGTATTAAAATATGCATTCTGGAAACTGATCTAATACAATTCAGGAAGAAGCATTTTACAGTTGAAGCAAATCATCAAACCATCAAAAGTTGCCATTTCTGTCAAGCTGAAGTTTCACCAACTCCTGTGGGTAAAAGCTGTATCGTTTACAAATTTGAAGTATTTGGAAAATAAATGTTCAATGTTCCAAATGTGAAAAGCTTTATAGACCTAGCTGACATTATTCCAAGGATGTAGCGTTTCTCTGAATTTTTTAAAAAATTAAAAATATGACATTATGCCTTTTAAAAAAATTTTAACTTGTGACATGTTCTCTCTAGACCCCCAAAATGAATCCATACTGCTTACACAAGTCTCCAGTTCTGCCTTAATGTCACTAAAGAAGATGAGATGCTTGTTTTTAATGATAGAGATCCTGCCTACTTGTTTTGAGCCTTTGGAAACAATTTACATGGCACCAGGCAGTTTGTCCTCAGAGCCCTGTCTCCACTTCAACTTTGTTATAGTGGCATGTGGTGTCAGAGTTGAAGGGACCTTGGAAGATGCACAGCTCGACCCCCTCACTTTGCAGATGGGAGAACTAATGTCCAGAGAGGTTCTGTAACCTGCTTCATCCAAAGCCTCGTAGCCATTTGGTGCTTGTTCTGCCTGACTGCTCTCTTGGCATCTCAGACCTTCCGAGCCTGAAGAGCGCTTTGAGACAATGCCAGCCAACACTTGTCCTCACTGAGAGGCAGCTGACCAGAGAGATGTAAAATAACTTCTGCAAAGTGGTCTCAGAACTCTCTTCCTCTTTGATAGCATCCTTTTAGGATGACATGCTGGTGTTCAGAAGCATCCTTGAGATTCCTGGATGAGATGCTGGTGTTCAGAAGCATCCTTGAGATTCCTGCGTGCAGGGCACAATTCTAACAGTTCAAGTTGTTCTCAGTGTCTTGCAACTGTAGCAGGCTGTAGAGAGCAGAGATCAATGGAACTGTTTCAGTCTGTATAAGCAAGTATTTAAGGAAGATCATGGTGCCTGATGTTAAGAAGTGACTGGGAAGTGAACTCATTTTATGTTTATTAGGAAGGTAATTTATAAATTAATTTATTTTAACATGTGTGTCAGGCTTATTTTGGAAAGTCTTTTATCGTTTCTGGAGTGCTTTCACCTTTATTATTACCTTGTCAGATCATCCTAACAGCACGTTGAGGCTGGTATCGCTCTTCCCATTCAACAGACAAAAATGTGGAGCGTTAGACACTGTGGGTGGCTTGCCCAAGGTCACAGTGCTATTAACTGAACAGAGAAGGTATTTAAGCCTTGGTCTTTTCATTCCAGAACTTGTGTGCTCTTTCCAATCTACCTTACTACCTTTAGGAATTTAAGATACAGTTTTCCTGTAGTTTTCAGTTTCCTGACCAAACAAATGGTTTATGACAGATTTTGTCTACAAGCAGACAAGCTTGAGAAAATTCACTAAAGACAGGGGCTGCTGCTGTGACGTGTTTTTGTTGTTTCCAAGTCCTATTTTGTTGTTAGAAGAGTTTAACCTTCGATTATTTCCTCCTGAAATACAGAGAATGACTTGCCATCCTTGCTTTTAGAAGGCAGAGATCCTCAAAGATGAAGTTGCAAAGCAAAGGCATTAAGAATAATTACGCTTTTCGTATACATTCATTTTATAAAAGATTTACCAAGAATCCTATAAATATGCAAAAGCGTTCTGTATGCATTTCAAATATGATTCAGTTGGCCACGATTTTTGATCATTTTGTAATCAATTTTTCTAAGAAATTTATCTTGCTCTTTGTCAACTGTATTTTCTTATTTCTCGAAAACGTTCTTTTTCACCTTTGAATTGTAAGGTTGGCCTCATCCTCTGCCTTCAAAATTAGTGATGAGTAAAGAATTCTAAAGAGATCAGGGAAATACTTAATATCGACGTTGAATATACGGCAATGGAACTGACTTAGAATTCCTAAATGATAGAGTGCTATCTACTCCGCAGTTATTGAAGTTTCCCCTTCTTTTGTGTTTGTATTTTCAGTTTAGGTGAAGAGTAAGAAACTTCATTCCTCAGGGACAGAAGTACAGCAAAGAACTTCAAGGTTCACAGTGTTTGCACAAGCCCTCTTTGATTGATTAATTTAGTATTTTTAGTCTGACAATAAAAGCATTTCTATTGCAATTATGTTTCTTGCCGGAGGTGAAACATTACTGATTTTTAAAATCTTCGGATGAAGACTTTTCTGGAATGTGAGGAAGGCATGGGGGTGGGGCTGGATATCTGTGAGCTGTTGAAAGAAAAGAGGTTGGTGTAGAACAGATGGGCTCCTCCAACCATACATATTCATGAGCACATTTATTTCATTATGTCGTCCCCCGGGAAACCTGATACTTCAGCTTTTATAGGTTTGTATGACCATCAAATTGAGCAGTCAGAAGCCCTCTGTCAGAAACTGTGTTGCAGCAAAATTTTAAGAAAAGTATGTGAAAGCCTTCGCTTCTCACTTTTGTCTTGACTTTTCGTCGCAGAAACACCTGTGATTTTGAGAGCTGAGACAAGAATGTCATTGAGCATAATAAATGTTAAGTGTTGGTAGCTGAGCTGACACGTTGCATTATTCAGATGGTGGTGTGTTATGTTTAGAGTATCACTAAGCACGTTGTTTGCTAATTTCGTAAGAACCATGAGATTAAAACATATCTGCCTGTCTGTTACGACATCACCAAAGTTCATGCCAGGCCCTCCTCATTTGTAGATGTGAAACAGCTCATGTGATGTTTTGAACATTGTTCATTTTTGAATTCCCTGAGTATCTGATAAATTGGCAGGAAACTACCTGTTACGTGCTTCATTAAATTCCTTTTCACTGGACCAAGATACAGAGAAGACTGTGAGCAGCACAGATCTTCCCCCCCACCGCTACGTTGTAAGCAAGCTTCTGGCTGGTGCTTAATGAAGGCTTCTCAATTGCCTTTGCTTTAAATGATGTTCGCACTGTCTCCACATAATTCCATGTGCCTTTACATCAAACAGGAATAAGAGCATTTCTGTCTTTTCCCATTGTTGCCTGGCCTTGATGAACTGTTGATGTATGATAAATTGTTTTACAGATCTGTCAAGACAATTACTTGTGCACTGCTCCATCAGGTGATAAGATGTCCTCTGCTCTGAGAATCTATGTGGAAATTGAGGCATGCATAAAGTCTACTCACTTGGATGAAGCAGGTCATTCATTTTCTTAAAATCCGTAAGATAATAATCATAATGGATTTAATAATAACAAGAACAAGAACGTAACCTAACATTTATTAAGCATTACCATATGGCAGGCACCATACTAAGAATTTTGCAGAAAACTTATGATGTTGATATTATTAGTATTTACCTTTGGCTGTTGAAGATACTGGTGTTTAAAGAAGCTGGGTATCTTTTGTATATTGTGTCAAGAAATACGACAGCCTTTTAAACAAAGTGTCATGTCACTCAATCCTTGTGATCTCAATAATCAGAGACCCAAGAATTGTGAGAAGCTGAAAGATCCCATGAAGTCTAGGTCTGAGCAGATTTCGTTGCAAGAAAAGTCATGTGCAAATGAGTTACTGGGTGTTAAAAACCATGCAAAAGAGGCAGCTGTTTTGCAGAGAGGCACAAAAGGGAAGCATGTACTTGAGTGGAGGTGGCTGGCTCTCTGATAGTGTCATAGCTCCTACCTACATTTCCCAGGAACTCCAGCTGCAGTTCACTTACAGGTGTGACCTGTATTCTTACAGTAACCTCCTCTGGACTCTGAGTAGCTTCAGTGGGTTTCTGTTCCTTGCAGCCAAAAGTCTGAACTTGCAAATAACGGGGCTAAGAGTCAGACTCTTGTTTTTAGACCTTAAACTCTGAGTCATCCTCGGTTCAGCGACCGTCCACATTGGACAGCAAAGGGCCCAGTGAGTATGACCGTGGAGCAGCATGTCTCAGAGCTGTCCAGTGTGGAAACAAAAACAAACACACAAAGAAGAAGGCTGTGGAGATACAGACAGTGACTTCTGGTAGCATGGCAGTAAACCTAAGCGCTAGATAATGCTAGCCTAAGACTGCCTTTGTTAAAACACACTTCGTTCTTCTTAAGAGGTTATCAAAATCAAAATGCTTGATTAAAAGTTCTTAGTATAAGGAAAGTTTGTGACAGGAACACACACAGTAAAGACTGGAAGCCCTCCTCCTGTGCTCCTCGCTCCAGTCATGAGGGGCCCACTGTGCACAGTTAGGGGTGTGTCTTCCCAGGACTTTTCTATGGACAGACTGGATATGTGCGCAGAGCGGGGTTGTTTTCAAGCACGTCATACCATTCACACTTGCCTCCTATTGCTTGTGCAGGATACCCTGGACACCCCGGGGTATGAATATACTCAGATTTGGCTCATTTATGTTCAGAGCTACATGGCGTACAGCTTGGAGCAGGGGCGCCGGCTCTCTGTCGATGAGCATTTGATTGTCTTCACGTTTCTGCTGTTACATATCAGGCTTCAACGAATAGAAATGATTCTCTTTACCTCACGTGCTCCTTTTAGACCATATTTCAGATGCACATTTAGGAGGATTAAAAATGTAATCATCGACCCTTATAGATCCTACAAGGGAGGTAAGCAGAGTAGGCATTCAGATTCAAGTATCACCTAAAACCAGTTCAGAGGACGTTTATGAAAGTCGCACGATGCTAGCCACTAATCAGACTTCTTCTGGGCTTTAGTTTTAGGGGTGAGTATCGTTGCAATCCTGTTTGTCTATCTAAAGACGATTTTAAAACATTAAACAAAATAGCAATGGTTAAGCACAGGCTCTCAGAAGGGATGTGGGAGTGCTCTGCGAGCACTTTACACCTGACTGCTTAGAAAACCAACACGTGAGCAGGTGTGTGTTGATCACCTCTGAAGTACCCCACACAGATGGAGGAAGAGAGCTAGGATTTTTTTTTTTAATCCTTTGTACAAGAACCCACACTCAGTGAACAAGCAGAGCAGGAAAAGGTGAACAGGCTGCAGTAATACAACGCTGTTGCTGATGTTTTAGGACTTTCTGTGTGTGATTCAGAAACAGGGCAGACACATGCAGCACAGAGAGTATAACATTACAGAGAATACTTAGACAGCTTCAGGTGATGCTGGACGTGGTAGGAGGACTTCGCCTACCAAGGATGCAAAACACATCTAGTCAAAAGCTGTGTATTTTGTGAATATTTACTGCCTGTCAACGTCAAGGTAGATAAGGAAATCTTCAAAATTGGTGAAGCAATGTATATGGTGGTTATCCCCATACTTTATTATGAGCCAGTTAGGTGAAAACTCCATGTTTAACACTTCAGAAGGTGTCAAGACTAAAAAAATCACAGTCCCTAAGCAAAAGGAACTTAAGGTTAATGCTACATGATAAATAACCAGAGTACACACATATCTTTAGCTTAAAAAAGTAATAATTATTATCAAAGGCCACTTTGTTTCCATATTTTCATCAGTTCTTAAAAAAAAGTGAACAGCTGTATATGATTTTTCCAACCATACTCTTCAGTGCCCATATCCACCCAGTGCAAGGGGTGTACTTTGTTTTGTTAGATGGGTGCCAGAATGAGACTTTTTATTGTGACAAATGGTTATAGCTGTCATTTACTTAGAGCTTACCAGGTGGACAGCACCATTCTAAAAACTTTAGGTGGATTTTTAAAATTCTCCCAGCAGGCCCTCGTGGGGAGGTTTTTACAAATGCAGAACCTGACAGCTATTAAATGGTTGAGCCAGGGTCCCCTGCCAGGTTCTGTATCCTCTGTACCGTGGGGCCGATGCTTATGAACCTCCGGAGGGTCACTCAGGGCGCCCTGCAGTGTTTGCCTCATCGCAGTGCCACCCAAATAGTAGTTTCTTAATGTTTTTCCTTAATCAACCTGCTTTTCATACCTGTTACTTACTTCAAACATTTTGGGTCCATAAAATTTAGGGGGTTTAGTTGTACTAGTGATATGTTTTCCCTTAAAAGGTAAGTCAAGTAAATAGATAACCCAGAAAACAAAAATAG